TGCTGCTCGAGGGGCTTTCGTCGTTAGACGCTCATACATGCAACCATTCATGTAACAGAGCTCTCTCAGCCCGAATGGCACACTAATCGACACTTAACTCGTCAAGTTTACGCATACACTAGTCACACTCTAGCAAAAGCAAGCACTAGTATATTGGTTGAATATCCAGTGTCTTGACGATAACTCACACCAAGGTGTCTACAAATATATTCAATCCAACTGCTCCATTTGTTTGCTTCGAATCTCCGGGTACCAGTAGGCAGCCATGGTAGGCAGCCACCCATGGCAGCCATCGTACAGTTCACACTCATACTCGAGTGTCCAGTCCCCACCTGTTTTTGCATAACGTACGGACACGATCACTGGTGATGACTCCGGGCAACTACAGTTCCATCGAACGAGGCAATGCGTCCCTTGTCGCAGCGCGCCTTCCTTTGAATGTCAAAGCAGCTAGCAGCGATACAGGCATCGACACTGAATCGATACACCTTGGCTTCACATCTCACTTTTCCATTCGACGTCCGCAACCAACATGCACGCTTCGACGCTTCTCCTCGCCTCGCTTCTCGCGACGGCCGCCGCTGCCACCAACAACTCGGTCATCCTTCCCAACGTCGAGCACACGCTCCAGTACACGCAGGTCGCGTTCGAGAACCTCCCGACGTGCGCGTCCAACACATGGGACATTGCCGGGCCGCAGTACGACACGTACTCGCGCTGCACGACCAAGCCGGACGTGATCCTCGGCATCAACGTCTTTCGCTGCCGCAAGTACGCGGCGACGGCCAAGAAGACACCCAAGGGCCGCGACGCCAACGGCCAGATCATCAAGGGCAGCGACAACGTGTACAACTGCGACGAGTGCTTCTACGGCTACCGCCGCATCGGCGCGGGTGGCCCGCAGGAGATTGAGCCGCTCACGCTCGACGGCTACAAGGCGCACAACCTCACGGAGCTCCGCGGGTACTTTGTCCCGCAGCGCATCGGCGACCGCAACTACCTCCGCTCGTGCTTTCTCACCGAAGGCAAGAACCTCGGCGACCTTTGCGAGTCGATCCACCGCCAGTCGTTCGGCCATGCCGATGGTGCCGACGCCACGTGCATTCTCAAGCACGAGATCAAGACGCCGTCGGGCCACATTCGCAAGTCGCTGCCGTTCGACGGCAAGCTCAAGGACGACGACAACTGCCACGAATATGCGATCGTCAACAACAAGATCGCGTGCAAGACGCGCAAGTAACTGTCAATGAACAGAGACTAGTCAATGAATATCATATTTTTTCCTGTTTCAACACGCAATCTTGTTGCGAAATCGACGGTCGCTGACATGACGATGTTCAAGTATTTCAAGGGTTTCTCCGTCCAGCGTGGATTGCAAGAGGTGGTCCGTGCCACACAAGGGAATTTATTCGGAAATTATTCCCTTGGTGCCACATTTCGAAGTTGACTGCTTTTGCTTGGAGCGCGCCGTAGGGAAGGCCGCAGTGAGCCACCACTTGTGATAGATGTCTCTAGCCGCGTGACTCACGACAGCGGTGGCGCCGCTGAATGCGGTGACGACGCGACTCGCATGCCGCCACCAACAAGATGTCCTCGCCAAATGCCTTTTGTACACCACGAGACCAGCTACCTGAGGGTTTCTGCATGCACGCGGGTGCTCCAGCAGGAGTAGAGCTCCACCAGCCGGTCCTCCTTCTCCCGCGCTATATCGACTTCGCTTATCGAGTCGTGCTTGGCGCGGTTCGCACCAAAGTGACACAGCTGTCGGTGTCGAGCAGGAAGAGATCGGATACGTTCCGACCTCTTCAGAAGACCAGCACTCTATACCTGCACCATCACTCACACTATGGAGCCGGTACACACATGTAGAGCCATTCCGTGTTTGATTCACTGTTTTATACAGCCAGCAGCGTTACATACAGAGTGTGAAACGATGCTCAGTGTGCCAACATGACACCGTGCAGTTTGAATTCTCGTCCATGTCCGACACGACTGGCAATCTCAGCAGTCTCGTGGAGGCTGTCATGGTACCTCACTGCTACGACGAAGAGAACGAAGACATGTACGGTGGCTCGGAGCGCGTGGCCATCCATGGCGTCGACGTCGACTGGCCGATCGCGCCGGCACTGGCGGCGTCGTTGATGGAGACAAGCCCCGAGAAGACGACGCTCTTGCTCCCGCCGTCGGCCATCACGTCGAGCCGCTACCTCGACCAGTCGTCTTTCCAGTACGACACTATTGTCCGTGAACTGAAGCTCGACACGCGCTATGTCTACGACTTTTCACATTTCGCGATCGATGCCGTCGGTTCGGCTTCGGCGCTAGTGCCGACGTCTGCTTCGACACCGG